CTGAGCTGTAGTTTCCCACCACAGAGGCACCTCTCTCAGCCTGGCTTTGAGCAGTGGGGAGGCTCTCCTGTGCTGGGGATGGAGTTTTGGGTATGGGAGTGGATCTGCTGGGATGGGGTCTGGACCTGGAACCCTTTGCCCCCCCGGCTGGGGGGCCTGGTCCTGAGATTACGTGCCTGGTTGTCTTACAGACACACATATACACACACACACACATATATACACACATATACACACACAGACACACACACACACAGACACATACACGCACACACACACACACCTTTGCTCGGCCAGCTTTATTGTAAATGTCGCACACCAACATTATAATGAAAGAAATAGACTCCTACACTACAAAGACCACAGTCATTTTCAACAATCAACATTTTGCAGTGTCTAACATACAAACTCAGTTTAACCAAGTCCTCAAACAGAAGCTCAGTGGGCTTTGGCTGCCCCTCCGGAGTTTTAATGTTTAGGCGGATCGAGACGCTGCCAGCGATACGATTCCTGATGTGAGTCAAACCTATTCAACACAACGAAAACATCACTGAATCTCACAAGCATTTTGTTTCCTTTTTCCTCATGAAGGACGGCTCTTACACTTTGTTGTTTTCTATTAAAGCAAACTGATAAATCCACCTTTCAAAAGAAGTCATTCACTTTGCTACTGACAGAAAGTTTTTTTAATCCCACGGAATCATTTATTACATTTGCTTTAATCTAATTTTCTACCAAAATAATGAGTAAATAATCTTCAACATTGACTTTTAATGTCAAAGTAACAAAACGGGCGCCTCAAAAACACAAGAAGAGTAGAAAATGCCTGATAATCCATGATACAATGGGATTGCTGAAAGAGACAAAGTAAGATGAGTTGTGCATTAAGCTGCTAGATAAACAATTAAGCTAACGGCAAATTCCTGCTGACTACAACAAGCAAAAAATCCAGAATCTTCTGGTTCTGATGGACGGGATGAACTGGCCGGGTCAGTTTCCCTGTTCTGTCTCAGTTTGGTCTTCACTGCTGACGGTCGGCTGACTGCTCCCGTGTTTCCGTGGCGACGCCCTCCTCCTCCTCCACAGCACCAGCAGCAGGATGACAGCAGCCCCCATCAGGATGAGGGGACCAGAGAGGACCTGGACTCTGTGTGAGTGCTTTTTGAGTGGCTGAAAAAGAAAAACTGCCCTATTTTCCTGCCTTTATCTGCTCCAGCAGGACGTTCAGGTTAGGAAAATCACCCCAAACCGGACAGAAATAAAGAAACTTCCTCACCTTTCTTATTGTTTTCGTCCTCCTTGTCGTTCCCCTGTAAGCAAAACGAGCCTTTTCTGCCTGAATAAGAGAATAAATCCACTCTGAGGCTGAAGGGTCAAAGCCCGCGAACAGCAGCAGGCAGCTGGAAAAGTAGCGTTTGAGTTTCCCGCCTTTGGCCGCAGCCGTTGGGCTTCGTTTGGCCGTTACCATGGAGACCGTTCCGTTACTGTGGAGACCGCACCTGCACGGCCGGTCCGGTCCGGTCTGGGAGCAGAGGGGAGACCTCCAGGAAGACGTGGGGGTCCCCCCCCCCCCTTTAAACCAGCCGGGAAGCAGCAGACTCTGGCTGTTGGTCTCAGACAGAGGCTTTATTTTTAGTTTGAAAACGTAGAGTTTAAGTTAACTTTGTACAATACACATTATGGTACCCCCATTCGTTTGTGCCTTAAACGTTCCCCAGAGTGTTCCTAACGGCCCCCAAATTGTTCCTAACGGCCCCCAGAGTGTTCCTAATGTTCCCCAGAGTGTTCCTAACGGCCCACGCTGATAAAGCAGGTCTCAGAGCAAACTGAAGTCTTTTTTACCTCCTGATGTTTTGGCTGCTTCCCCTGTAAAACGTTCCAGAAGCACATCGTCATGAACAGGGAGCATTAACGGCTGTACGGCATCCCGGATGTGCCAAAAAAGACAAAAATCTGTTCCATAATAAAAAATAAATTTAAATTCTAATTTGAAGCTATGATATTAATCTATCTGACATTTCTATTAATATGATTCTCATTCTTTATGACTTATTTGTAATATGTAAGTTAAATAAAACAGTAGTTAATATGTTTCAATCATTTGCACCTTAATGATTTAAAAATAATTAATACAATTATGTATATCCACAAATGAACCAACATGAAAATTCGTTTGGTTATTTTTTATTAGAATTTCTTTTAATTCTTAAAATAAAATTATTATGAAATTGTTTAATCTTTATTAGATTTAGTCTCACACAACATAATTAAATAAACTAAGAAACGCTCTTAAATTGGTTAAAAATACTTTTTTCTACGAATTTTGATATAGACTTTTTAAAAGGAATGTCGGGAAAGCAGTGAAATGAGAAATAAAAGTTAAAATATCACATATTTCAGGATAGAATGTGATTCTTTGGGGATATTGGTACCTTTCTCCTCTCATCCTGAAGCTTTTCAGCTCTAAAGTTCCTGGTGGGGGGGCAATCCGAGTCAGAGTCCTTCTCACCTGGAGCTCGTCTGACTGGCTGAAAACTGAGTTTAGCTCTCAGGCTCCTAACTCCTTTTCATTATTTTTAAACTGAACTTTTATTTATGTAGACATTTCTGACATTGAAATGTGTTCAGGTGTTTTGGGAGGTGCACGTGTTCCAAATGAGACTGTCAGAATAATGTTCCATAGTTATCATGCATTCTCTGAATTACATGTGTGTGTGTATGTAATTGGGTTAACTGTGCTTGTGCTGTAGGCAGGAGTGTGTCGTCATAAGCACAAGCTGTTTTGCATTTAATGGTGTCTGCTGACCACAGTAGTGACCCTTGAGACAACAGTCCTGTTTGGAAGCTGAAACAGAGGAACAACTGGACTTTGTTCCTCCTGTTACATCGCTGTCTTCCTGTTCAATCAGTGCATCCTGTGATTAAGACCAATGTCCCATCAGACATGTGTGTCCCTTCTGTCTGTGGAGGAGATGAAGTCACAAATCTGTGATAGGGTGGAACCAAATAAAAGGACAGGGGAGCAGAAGAGACCTCAGAGTAGGTTGGAGATTGTAAAGTCTCTCAGCTGCTCTCCTTACAAGTATTCACTGAACTTACTATGTTTGTCTATTTTTGTCCTCTTACAGCAGCGAATTCAGAAGTGTTTAGGGGCATAACCCTGACAGAGACTCAAAAGGTTCATGATCCACTCACTTTTAAACATTTGTTTCAAAGTTTGTCTTTTAAATGCCGGCTAAGATTGAAAGTTCATGCTGGTCTGAAATGTCAGATTTTTTTATTGATTCTTTAGTTTTTGCATTTATTTGGGGACGTGTCCGTATATCCAGTCAAGGTAAGAACAGACGTCCATGAACACTGGTGGGAAGTCACAGACATAATCGCCACCATTACTGTAGACACCATAGATCTTCCCATGGTAAACGGCTCCTCCACCAGAGTCCCCCTGAGACAGAAAAGAGTTATTATCATCTCACTTTGACTTCAGAGCTCCATCACAGAGTTAACAGGAGGTTAGAAACAGCAGGACTCACGCTGCCAACGTCTGTCTTGTATTTGGTTCCACCACAGAAAATGTGGGTCTTAGAAAATGTTAAATTCTGAAGGCATTGCTGAAAGTTCGTCATGAAGCTCTCACAGTCTATGACGTTTATGTCGGCACACAGCAGCTTATCCGGCTGACTATCAACTAAAGAACAGAAACAGGGGTTGATCAAATCATTTTGATATTAAGTTTGTAAAAACTGAACAATAAATAAAAAATAAAAAAGAACCTTCTTTGTTGTTTTTGTCTTTCTTGTAGTTCCCATGTCCTGGATTGTTGGATTCCTGTAAGCAAAATTATTCTTTTACAGTTGGCCTCTGGGGACTTTAATAAAGATGGAGCCTTTTAAAATCCACTCTCACTCCGACAGCCCAAAGCTTCCAGACCTGAAACCTTTTCTCAGGCTGAGACACAAACAGACCTGGAGGAGCTTTAACTCAGTTTAACTCACGGGGCAGGTTTCTGACAGCCGACAGCTGGAAGAGGAACCACTGGGTGGAGGTTTGTCTCCTTCGGTAACTTCAGGAGCATGATGTCATGCCTCTGGCCATTCTGATCTGTAAAGATGACAGGGTCTGCTTTGATTTTCACCACTTCCCTTTTTGAACCTGGATGCACACCCAAAACTGCAAACCTGGAGGACAGAAAATGTAACCAGACAGTTTCTGTAAAACATCCACACAGAGACTCACACCTGAATTTAGGGCAATCAGGAAAAAACTCAAAGAAAACATGTCAAATGAAACCATTTCTAAGGAGCAAATATCTGATGAATAGGTTGGTTTACAGTTATTTGCTGTTGATTTTGGTCCTTTGACAAACATTTTCACTTACATTTTCTTTTGCTTACAGTGAGCTGCAGTCAGAATCCACTGTTTGTGGATCAGAGAGCCCCCACAGTAAATACTCTTTCCTTTAGAGTCCTTAGAAAGAGCCACATGGTACAGACGATCATCTTCGTCACAGTCTATCACCTTGTAGATCCTCCTCTGCAGGTCCACGGCCCCGCTGGGCGGGAAGGCTGAAACAGAAGCAGCTTCAGTCAGAAAAACATCCGTCTGTGTTCTCCGGAAAGCTCCGGAAACATGTGAAGGACTCACCTGCACACAGAAGCAGAAGGAAGACCAGGTGATGCATGATGAGTCGCTGACCACTGACCACTGACCTGCTGCCAGAGCTGCCTCACCGGCTTTTAAAGGCCTCCCAGCACAGATGCATCAAACTCATGCAAACTTCCAGCTCCTATCAGATTACAGTTTCACAATGAAGACATATCCCATAAAATTTAACGAGAAAGTGTGTGACTGTTTAACCAGCGTTTCAGCACATTTGACTGGAAGCTGCTTTAAACCGTCACTTCTGAGAGTCTGATGCACAGAAAGCAGTTTCTGTTTCTGGGGTTCTGGTTTAGTTTTTGGTCTTTAGAGGAGGTTACAGCTTTTCCAGCCTCATGTTTGAATAAAAATGAAGAAGGTGGGCGGTGAAACCACTTTAATCACCAAGTAACTAAAGAAAAAGATTCTGGATCAGCACCATGAAGCAAAGAGTGTATGTGTGTGTGTGTGTGTCTGTGTGTGTGTGTGTGTGTGTGTGTGTGTGTGTGTGTGTCTGACTTTATTAATGTGCAAGCAGGTTTAAAAAAGCTGCAAAAGTAGCTCAAATCTGCTGCTGATACCAGAAATATTTAATGATGTACAAAAACGACACCAAAGTGACCAAACTTCACAATATCCTCAGATTTTTTTACCTCTTAACTCTGCAGTAAAACACCAAACCTGCATTTCCTTGTTTCAAAAAGTCTAAAAACAAGTTTGCAGGACTTCACCTTCAATCGGTCCAGTTCTCTGCAGAACCAGGAAACAGGACCGCACTGGTCCAGTTCTCAGGTTTCTGTTCTGGCTTCCTATCATTAAGAGAACAGACTTCAAAATAGGTCTCTTCATGGTCTAAAGTCCATCTCTGATAACCAGGTTATGGTCTCCTGCTGGGTCCCAGAACCTGAACCAAACCAGGAGAGGTTATGTTCCAGTTTTCTGCTCCTAAAATCTGGATCAGTCTTCCTGAAGACACCTGAACTCTGGATGTTTAAATCCAGCTGAAAATATTTGTTTAACTTGGTGGATCTTATCTGCTCTGTTCAGAAGGCCCTCATGTTACGTTTGAGCAAATTTATTCCGCGACTCACAGTTTTCCTGTTTCCGTCACAAACTTTGGCGCCTAACTAGTCCTACATGGTTTGACGGGTCGGGCCCAAAAAAGACACTCGTGTCCGGACTGACAGATGGATGCTTGCTTGGATTTCTCTCTATCATTAGTCTGGGCGTTTTTTAATAAACTACGAGAAAGGCGAAACACTGTCCCACAAGAAGTTAATGGGAAGGATGACAAATGGGCCCAAAACATGGCCCCCTTCCGGGGTCTAATCGCTGGGCCCCACGACCTCTGAGAAACCCCATTTAAGGATTAAACAAGTCATGAAAGACGGGCTTCCGACATATTGGAGCTACGAGGCCCGACCTCGCACCGTTTGGCCGCAATCGATGTCAAAGTTTTAGCAAAAATCTGAAAAATCCCCAAATATCCTCTCAACCCTAGTGACATCATCACAGGCGCTAACTGG